AAAAAAAAAAAAAAAAAAAAAAAATTAGCTGTGTGTGCTGGTACTCTCCTGAAGTCCCAGCTACACAGGAAACTGAGGCAGAAAGATCACTTGAACCCAAGAGGCTGAAGCTGCAGTGGGCCATGATCATGCCACCGAACTCCAGGCTGGGTGACACAGTGAGAACCTGTCTCCAAAAAAAAAAAAAATGTTTTTTAATAATTCCTTTTTTTAAAAAATGGTATGCTCCCTTCTGCAAACTATGTTTATGCAAAATGGCTCATTCTTCTGCTGGGGTCTCATATCCATAAGAGGACTTGTGTACATGTAAGACATTAGCTATTTACATTATACTCATAACTTCATGTTACTAAATAGAAGCCTTAATATCTTCTCTGTTTGCAGACCCAGGGTTCTGGAAGTCCTAGCCCTGGTGGTCCTCTGTTCTGTGCCCCTTACAGAGCCTACATTTCATCTCATATCAGCTGTCAGCCTTTCCCAGTGAGACTCTTCAGGAGAGGAAAATATATCATTGCTCTGTTAAAAATTACCCATACATCTACTCAACATTTTTATGAGGATGGTTATTTAGGATCCAGCCTAAAATATTAACTCAAGATAAACAATCATTTTCTAATATCAGACTTACAGAATTAGTTGAAATTCTGAAGGCTAAAATATTTATTTCTATGTTTCCAGTAGGAATGCAAGAGAATCCCAGAGACATACAGGCTACACTTTTTAAAAAAAAACTTTCAGAAGATTCCATGAATTTCCACGGATTAGATAATAGCTACTCTTGTTTGTTTTTGAATATAAGGTCTCGCTTTGTTGTCCAGACTACTGTGGAACCTCTGGCCTCAATCAATCCTCCCACCTTGGCCTCCCAAAGTGCTGAGATTACAGGCGTAACTGACCGTGCCCAGCTGATGTTATCATATATATGGATTATTCCAGTGCCCAGTGTATGCCCCTCTCTTGCCAATGTCAACCCATTCTGTCTGGTCCTTTCACTGGTAACTCGGGAAGAGACAACTTTTTACACTACTACAACAACCCTCTGTTCACATGCAATAATCCACTATGTTGCCAAGCATTTTCTTTAATATATGATAGTCAAATATAGAGAAATAGGCCAGGTGCAGTGGCTCATGGCCAGGCCCAGTGATTCACTCCTGTATTCCCTGCACTTTGGGAGGCCAAGGTAGGCAGATCACTTGAGGCCAGCAATTCGAGACCAGCCTGGCCAACATGGTGAAACCTTGTATCTACTAAAAATACTAAAATTAGTTGGGCATGGTGGTGCACACCTGTAATCCTAGCGACTGGGAAAACTGAGGCAGGAGTATCGTTTGAACCCAGGAGGCAGAGGCTGCAGTGAGTCAAGATCAAGCCACTGCACTTCGACCTGGGAGACAGAGTGAGACTCTGTCTCCAAAAAAAAAAAAAAAAAAAAAAAAAAAAAAAAAAAAAAAAAAAAAAAAAAAAAAAAGGAAGAAGAAGAAAAGAAGGAGGAGGAGGAGAAGAGGGTGGAGGGGGAGGATGAGGATGGGGAGGGGGAGGAGGAAAGATGAAAGAAAACACCCATGTATCTACCACTGAGATTTGATAGATATTAGACATTTTGCATGTTTTCTTGAGATCTATTTTTAAAAGATAAAACATTCTAGATAAACACTTGAAGTCTGCTGTCCCTATTATTTTAATTGTGATCAAAATAATTAGTGGAAAGATGTTTGTGCTGGTTAATTTTATGTGTTAACTTCGCTGGGCCACAGTACCCAGATATCTGGTTGAATCTTATTGTGGAAGTTTCTGTGCAGATTTTTTTTAGATGATATTAACATTTAAATCAGCGGACTCTGAGAAAAATAGATTACCCCCAATAATGTGGGTGGACCTCTTCCAATCAATTAAAGGGCTTAATGGAACAAAGACTGGATTCCTGGAGTAAGAAGGTATTCTGCCAGGAAAACTGCCTTTGGAGTCCAACTGCGACTCTTCCCAGAGTCTCCAGTCAACCAGCCTATCCTATCAGACACTGGACTCACCAACCCTCCACAATCATGTGAGCCAACTCCTTAAATCTCAATCTCTCTCTCTCTCTCTCTCTCTCTCTCTATATATATATATATATATATATACATGTATATACGCATGGACACACCCTGTTAAGTTTTGTTTCTCAGGAGGACCATGACTAATATATAACATTTATATTTTAAAAACATACCTGATTCATTCTTTACTTCACTTTGTCTCAAAACATTTTGGATGTTATCTCATGAAGTTAGGTCTTTATCTTGCTAGTAGACTTTTTGTGTTTTGGTTGCTACAGCATATTTTTAATTCTAACTTTCTTATTAACCTGAAAGTCCCTTTGTATATACCCTTTTAAATTAGTCAATGTTATGCTTTGTATCCTCTTAATAAATTCAAATCTTAGTATCTTTACTATCACACTTTAATAATTCTCAAATTTTTTGGTCTAAGGATGCAACACTCTTTTAAGTATTAAAAGCCACAAAGAGCTTTTCTTTTTCTTTTTTTTTCTTTTTGAGACGGAGACTTGCTCTGTCGCCAGGCTGGAGTGCAATGGCGTGATCTCAACTCACTGCAACCTCCATCTCCCGGGTTCAAGTGATTCTCATGATTCTACTGCCTCAGCCTCCTGAGTAACTGGGATTACAGGCACACACCACCACGCCCAGATAATTTTTGTATTTTTAGTAGAGACAGGGTTTCACCATGTTGGCCAGGATGATCTCCATCTCTTGACCTAGTGATCTGCCCACCTCAGCCTCCCTACGTGCTGTTATTACAGACACGAGCCACTGTGCCCAGCCAAAAAAAGAGCTTTTCCTTATGAGAGAAATATAGACAGACAGACAGATATTTACTATATCAGAAATTAAAACTAAGAAAACTTTAAAATTTTAACTCATTAAAAGCAATATAAACCCATAAAGAACTTATTTTTAACAAAAAGTAACCATTTTCCAAAACAAAAAATTACTTACTAAAAAAGTGGCAAAACCTTTCCTTTCTGGAAATCTCTTCCATGTCTGATCTAAGCAGAATTCCCAAAGGTGCGTCCACATGTGATCTAATCTGTAGATTAGATTGTCATCTAATGTTTTGGTTGAAGTATATAAAAACAATGTAGCCTCACACAGATATATAGTGGGAAAAGGGCAGAGTATTTTAACAGATTTTTCAGATACTTAGAGATATTATTTTTTGATACTGTACCAAAACTCAGCAAGTGTCTCTTCTTATTGGTTAGTTACAAATGAAATCTGATACCATATCAAGGAAGCCTTTACATTCTGTTAAAATCTATAATCTATCTTACATTTTGGTATATTAAAAAAACATTATCAATCTTTTAACAATGCATGATCCATTATGTATTAGACCATTTTCATGCTGCTGATAAAGACATACTCGAGAGTGGGAAGAAAAAGAGGTTTAATGAACTTACAGTTCCACATGGCTAGGGAGGCCTCACAATCATGGCAAAAGGCAAGGAGGAGCAAATAACGTCTTACATGATTGTGGTAGGTTTAAAAAAAAAAAAAAAAAAAAAAAAAATTTGGGGGGGTAAAAAAAAAAAAAAAAAAAAAAAAAAGAGCTTGTGCAGGGTAACTCCTCTTTATAAAACCAGCAGGTCTTGTAAGACTTATTTACTATCACAAAAACAGCACGAGAAAGACCTGCCCGATGATTCAATTATCTCCCACTGGGTCTCTCCCACAACACATGGGAATTATGGGAGCCACAATTCAAGATGTGATTTTGGTGGGGACAGAGCCAAACCATATCATTTGGCCCCTCCCAAATCTCATGTCCTTACATTTCAAAACAAATCATGCCTTCCCAACAGTCTCCCAAAGTCTTATTTCAGCTTTAACCCAAAAGTCCACAGCCCAAAATCTCATCTGAGACAAGGGAAGTCCCTTCTGTCTATGAGACTATAAAAGTAGAAGGAGAGTAGTAACTTCCTAGATACAATGGGGAAACAGACATTGGGTAAATACAGCTGTTCCAAAAAGAAGAAATTGGCCAAAACCAAGGGGCTACAAGGCCCATGCAAGTCTGAAATCCAGCAGGGCAATCAAATCTTAAAGCTCCAAAATGATCTCCTTTGACTCCATGTCTCACATCCAGATCATACTTATGCAAGAGGTGGGTTCCCATGGTCCTAGGCCACTCTGACCCTGGGGCTTTGCAGGGTACAGCCTCCCTCCTGGCTGCTTTCACAGGCTGGCGTTGAATGTCTGTGGCTTTTCCAGGCGGACAGTGTAAGCTATAGGTGGATCTACCATTCTGAGGTCTGGAGGATGGTGGCTCTCTTCTCACAGTTCCATTAGATAATGCCCTACTAGGGACTCTGTGTGGGGGCTCCAATCCCACATTTCCCTTCTGCATTGTCCTAGCAGAGTTTCTCCATGAGAGCCCCACCCCTGCAGCAGACTTATGACTGGATATCCAGGCATTTTCATACATTCTCTGAAATCTGGGGAGAGGTTCCCAAACCTCAATTCTTGACTTCTGTGTACCTACATGCTCAACACCACATGGAAGTTGCCAAGGCTTGGGGCTTGCACCCTCTGAAGTCATGACCTACGCTATACTTTGGCCCCTTTCAGCCATGGCTAGAGTGACTGGGATGCAGGGCACCAAGCCCTGGGGCTGCAAATAGCAGGGGGATCCTGAGCCCAGGGCATGAAACCATTTTTTCCTCCTCAGCCTCCAGGCCTGTGATGGGAGCGGCTGCCATAAAGACCTCTGACATGCCCTGTAGAAATTTTCCCCATTGTCTTGGGAATTAACATTCAGCTCCTCATTATGGACACGAATTTCTGCAGGCGGGCTTGCAATTCTCCTCAGAAAATGGGATTTTCTTTTCTATCACATTGTCAGGCTGCAAATTTTCCAAACTTTTATGCTCTGCTTCCCTTATAAAATTGAATGCCTTTAACAGCACCCAAGTCACTTCTAGTATGCTTTGTTGCTTAGAAATGTCTTCTGCCAGATACCCTAAATCGCCTCTCTCAAGTTCAAAGTTATGCAAATCTCTAGGGCAGGGGCAAAATGCCCCCAGCCTCTTTGCTAAAACATCACAAGTCACCTATGCTCCAGTTCCCAACGATTCCTCATTTCCATCTGAGACCACTGCCACCTGGACCTTATTGTTCTTATCACTATTAGCATTTTTGTCAAAGCCATTCAACAAGTCTCTAGGAAGTTCCAAACATTTCCACATTTTCCTGTCTTCTTCTGAGCCCTCCAAACTGTTCCAACCTCTGCCTGTTACCCAGTTCCAAAGTTGCTTCCACATTTTCAGGTATCTTTTCAGCAACACTGACACTACCGGTACCAATTTATGGTATTAGTCTGTTTTCACACTGCTGATAAAGACATACCTGACCCTGGGAAGAAAAAAAGGCTTAAAAAATTTACAGTACCACATGGCTGGGAGGCCTCACAATCATAGCAGAAGGAAAGGAGGAACAAGTAACATCTTACATAGATGGCAGCAGGTAAAAAACCAGAGCTCGTGCAGAGAAACTTTTCTTTATAAACCATCAGATCTCAAGAGACTTATTTACTATTATGAGACCAGCACAAGAAAAAGACCCACCCCCATGACTCAAGTTATCTCCAACTGGATCCCTTCCATGATGCATGGTAATTGTGGGAGCTACAATTCAAGATGAGATTTGGGTGGGGACACAGCCAAACCAAATCACATTACAACATCATGAAATAGCATTTGGAAAGTATTGAGTTAAGCAAGTTTTCAAATTGAGAAAAAATTTCATCACACAGTAACAAATATCACACTTACTATTATTACCACTGATCACGTCAGAAAATCTGTAATGAAGTGTGAAGCTCATAGTTAGAGAAACATATTTTCCAAAATTCTCATTTTTTTGCTTGAAAGCTCAAATATTTTGAAGTGGCAACAAACACTAACAGTTACTTTATTTGAAAGACAGGCTCATTCATTAGTTTTCAAGAAAATGTCTGCTAAATATACCAGTCTGAAAACATAGTTTGTCTGTCATTCTTTCAATCTAAAATGACATTCCATGATAAAGGGAAGACTAGTGCAGCTTAGAACTCAAACAATTGCCAAAGTGTTTTTCCTTGAGAGAACCATTATATTTTAGTATAGAGCAGAAGAACTTTACCTTTACTTCCCATTACATGACACTAAGTATAAAAAGACGTACTTAGGGATGAGATTTAATAAAACTAACTTTTATTGCATCATAGAGGACATTCTTAAGTGACATTCTAAGAAAAAACTGCAAGTGCTCAGAGATGAAAAATACACTGGCTTGGTTCCATGCCAAGGTTTATGCTAAAGCATCAGCAATTTTATCTACCACAGCTTTGCCACCATAAATGCAAAGGTCATATAATGAAAAACAGTAAATCACATTTGACTGAAGTTTTTAAGAAAACAGTCTTGACCTCACGGAATCATCAAAAAGCTCTATGGTCTTTGACAACCACTACACTGGAACTTTCTTCTTAAGGAATTTCCAATATGTTTTGCTCCTTGGTTTTTAATATTTATACCATGGAATCTTCTCTCTGAAAAAATGTCTAATATACAAAATCAATTCACTCGATACTATCAACAGACCTCCAGCTAAAGTTCTCTTTTTTTTTTTTTTTTTTTTTTT